GACAGAGGTGGTGAGTTCTCCTCAGACCTCTTGGCAGCCTTCTGTGCGGAGCACGGCATCCGCCAGACTTTCACGCTTCCGGCCTCTCCGCAGCAGAATGGGGTTGCTGAGCGCCGCATTGGCTTAGTCATGGAGGTCGCTCGTACCTCCATGATCCATGCGACTGCCCCCCATTTTCTGTGGCCGTTTGCGGTCTGGTACGCCGCGCATCAGCTCAACCTTTGGCCCCGTGTCTCCTTGCCGGAGACCTCGCCCACACTGCTGTGGACGGGGAAGGTTGGCGACGCGTCGCGTTTCCGGGTCTGGGGTGCTCGTGCCTTTGTCCGCGATACCACTGCGGACAAGCTCTCCCCTCGCGCCATTCCTTGCGTCTTCCTTGGCTTTGTCCCTGACGAGCCTGGCTGGCAGTTTTACGACCCCGCCTCGCGCCATGTCTTTGCGTCTCAGGACGTCACCTTTGACGAGTCGATCCCCTTTTACCGCCTCTTCCCCTACCGCACTGCTCCTCGCCCCCCCCCGCCGCTCTTTCTCGCCCCCGGTCCTCCCCAGGTAGACCCCCTCCCCGCGCCAGGTCCTGCTCCTTCAGGTGTCTCTCAGGTAGACCCCCCCGCGCCTGCGCCTGTTGAGGTCACTGGTGACTCCGGTCCTGCTGCGAGTGTTGCTGTCCCTTGGGGTGCGGAGCTTGGGGGTGCTGAGTCTGGGGGCGCTGAGCGTGTGGAGCCTGGAGGTGCTGAGCCTGCGCGTGAGGAGCCTGGAGGTGCTGCGTCTCGGGGTACTGCGTCTGGAGGTGCTGCGTCTGGGGGTGCTGAGCCTGTGTGTGCGGAGCCTGGGGGTGCTGAGTCTGGGGGTGAGTCGCCTGAGGGTTCTGAGCCTGCTGTTACGCGGTCTCCTTGGAGTAGCCGTCTTCGTCCGCGTGTGCCCCTCACCTCCCAGCAGCTGCACGACTGGTACGGTCACCGTCGGCGTCCCACTTCTGCACCTCAGGGCTCTTCTGCTGGAGGTTCTTCTGCTGGAGGTTCTTCTGCTGGTGTCGCTGGTCCCGGAGGTGCTCGTACTGGGAGTACTGGAGCTGCTGGGGTTGGTGGTGGTGCTGCTGGAGGTACTGGAGCTACTGGCGGTGCTGGAGCTGCTGAGGGTACTGGAGCTGCTGGAGGTGCTGGAGCTGCTGGTGGTGCTGGAGCTGCTGGGGGTGCTGGAGCTGCTGGAGGTGCTGGAGCTGCTGGAGGTGCTGGAGCTGCTGGGGGTGCTGGAGCTGCTGGAGCTGCTGGAGCTGCTGGAGGGGCTGGTGCTGCTCGTGCTGGTGGCACTGCTCAGCCGCGCCTGTTCTTTGCTCCTCCGTCTCCGTCGTCTCAGCCACCACCTGACTCTGCACTTCTCCAGGTTCTCAGTCTTCCCTCGTCTACTGGTCTTCCGTTACAGCCTGGCTCACCGCTGCCTGCTCCTTCTCTGTACACAGAGCAGCCTGGTGGCCTTGCAGAGCGTCGTGAGCCTGAGTCGCGTCCTGTCTCCCCTGTCAGTTCCGGTCGTCGTGTTCCTCGTCAGAGCCAGCCGGCTGTCTCCGGCCCTCCCCTTGTAGTTCGTCGTCATTCCTCTCCTTCACCGCGTGTTCCTCTGCCGCCTCCCCCTGCGTCCTCTCTGCCTGTCGTTGCTGACCCTGCGTCTGACCGGTTTCGTGCTGAGCACTCTACTGTCACGCGTCTGCTTGCCACTGTTGTCACTGACCCGTCGTTTGAGTCTGCTGCTGCGTCTGCCTTAGTCACTGGGCTTGTTGCCTTTGCTGCTCACTGTCGTCTAGACTACACCGCCAGTTTTGTTGCTGAGTCTGCGTCTGTCTGTCCTCCGTCCGTCGGGGGTGAGTGTGCTCTTGGCACGGACGTCCTTGAGGACAGGCAGGAGGACCTTGAGTGTCTTGCAGCCGCTGCGCCTCATCTCGTATCCATGCTGCTTGCCCCTGAGGGAGACCCGGATGCACCAGACATCCCTACCCCGCGCTCTTACGCTGAGGCGATCACGGGTGAGTACTCCTCTCAGTAGCAGACAGCCATGGATGCAGAGATGGCATCCTGGAAGTCCACAGGCACCTACGTCGACGAGGTTCCCCCTCCTGGGACGAACATTGTCAGTGGCATGTGGATTTTCAGGGTGAAGCGGCCGCCAGGTTCTCCGCCTGTCTTCAAGGCTCGTTACGTGGCTCGAGGCTTCAGTCAGCGAGAGGGAGTTGACTTCTTCCAGACCTTCTCCCCCACCCCGAAGATGACCACTCTTCGGGTGCTGCTGCACGTTGCCGCTCAGCGTGACTACGAGCTTCACTCTCTTGACTTCAGCACAGCCTTCTTACAGGGCAGCCTGCACGAGGAGATCTGGCTGTGCCGCCCTCCTGGCTTCACTGGGTCGTTCCCTCCTGGTACCCAGTGGAGCCTCCGGCGGCCGGTCTACGGTCTCCGCCAGGCGCCACGTGAGTGGCACGACACACTGAGGACGACACTTGCGGCTCTTGGGTTTGCTCCGTCGACTGCTGACCCGTCGCACCGACACTTCGCTGCCGCCGTTCTACGTTCTCGTGTACGTCGACGACTTGGTCTTTGCCACTGCTGACACTGAAGCTCTTGCCCTGGTGAGGTCGGAGCTGCAGAAGAGACACACGTGCACAGACCTGGGTGAACTGCGCAGCTACCTTGGCTTGCAGATCACCCGGGACAGAGCACGCCGCACCATCACACTGACTCAGTCACACATGGTGCAGCAGGTCCTTCAGCGCTTCGGTTTCACCTGGTCCTCAGCACAGGCCACTCCTCTGGCTACAGGTCACTCGCTCTCAGCTCCACCTTCGAACGAGTCCGTAGAGCCGAGTGGTCCTTACCCAGAGTTAGTGGGCTGCCTCACGTACCTGATGACTTGCACTCGTCCTGACCTTGCGTACCCTCTTGGCCTTCTGGCTCGCTACGTGGCTCCTGGTCGGCACCGAAAGGTGCACATGGATGCTGCCAAGAGGGTACTACGCTACTTGTGCAGTACATCGGGCATGGGGCTCGTGCTTGGAGGACGGGGTGACGTTGTCCTCACAGGTCACTCGGACGCCTCTTGGGTTGACGACCAGGCTACGCAGCGGTCGTCACAGGGTTACACCTTCAGCCTTGGTTCTGGTTCAGTTTCCTGGCGTTCTACACGTTCGTCTTCAGTTCTCGGCTCCAGCTGTGAGGCAGAGATCTACGCCACAGCCATGGCTGCACAGGAGCTGCGCTGGCTCACCTACCTGCTGACCGACTTGGGAGAGCGGCCTCGTTCTCCTCCAGTTCTGTACGTCGACAACAAGGCCGCCATTGCCTTGTGTCAGGAGCACAGACTGGAGCACAGAACAAAGCACATCGCTCTCCGTTACTTTCTTGCTCGAGAGCTGCAGCAGCGTGGCCAGCTTCGTCTTACCTACGTGGCCACTCGGGCCAACACTGCTGATATATTCACCAAGGCGCTTCCGCCTGGTGATCATCAGCGTTTCTGCACTTTGTTAGGCCTTGTGCCCACCCTTCCTCACTTGCTGTAGGCTTTGTTTGTACCATGATTTATATGTATTCCTGCATGCTTGTTCTTGTAGGTAGATATCACTGTACTGTTGTTGTTACATATATATTTCTGCATGTGAACTGGCCTTGTGGCCTTCTTGCTTGTGCTCAGACTGCGTGGTGACGTTGTGATCCACCCTGAGCTTGCTTTGCACTTCCTGACTGGTCTTGTGACCCTCTGTTCCCCCACTTTGCCTATGGGGGTGTGTCAAACACATGTATATATATGTTATAGTTTGGGTAGGCTTAGTGGGGTACTCACTGTAGGGTACAACCCCTTAGGTTTCTCCTTTGTACAAACTCTCTCGATAGTTGACACCACTTTTGCCTAGAATCTCAACAATCTTGACCAACCCACCTGCCGCTGTCCCAACGGAAACCCTACACCAAAGTCAGGTCGCCGCGATCATCGCTGACGTGATCCTAGAACACAAAAGTCGACCCAATCCTCTCCGCAATCAACGCCGTGACCAAAATTTCTACCGCAATCAGCGCCGTTTACAGGTATCCTCCAAGACAAAACTCAGTAAAACCTACAGCAAGGGGGAGTGTTAAATATACAAACATAAGATAATACAGATGCTGTTAGATTTTACTGTAGTATTCCGTTATAAGACTCCCAGCCCTCCAATAACGGTACAATTATTGGAGGGCAAGAATTATTGGAGTCTAGAATTATTGGAGGGTAAGAATTATTGGCGGGTAGAATTATTGGTGTGGCATTATTGGTGTGGATGAATCCATCCTGAGGGGGGTTAGCTGCTTGGATAAATACCCTACTCTGTCATTTCTTAATCAATCCATTCAGTTGCAAAGTTATCTTGTTATTCTCTTCTACAATCAAGGCTTCCGCTACGACGGCACTATGCCTTTCTAGCAGGTTTCAACTTGGAATTGGGTTTCATGACTAGCTTCTCTCCATCCCGAAGTCACTAGTTTCCTAGCATATTTTAGCTGAGAACCTAGGTGTTAGTGGCCAAGGAGAGTAACGATCGATTTTGCAGGAATGCGTAAGACTGTTACGTAGCTTAGCATCGTAATTTTATTCCCTCACGCATGCGATCGTTACCCTCCGCCAATCTTGCGCCAAATTTGCACAGATATGTGTGTGAAAGTCGCCGCCAATCAGAATTGTTAACAAGTTCCAAATGTTCCCCGTTCTCATCTAGATTCATATCTACAAGCTTTTAACACTTGGTTGGTTACGCACGCGCATGATTGGTTTCGACAAAAAAAAAAGCCACCCCAGCTCGTCACAGATTTTGGGTTTCGCCAACCAGTCACGGAGGCCAACCAAGTGTTGCGGTAAACCCGACCAGGTGTAAACCGGAGAAAAATATGAGAAGCGAGCTTAAACCTGGTATACATATCGATACTCGCAAAGGTGAACATGGACAAGAGATAGCTAGATATGAACAACAAACTATCGGCATTCCTAACCTACGACTTGTTCTTACCAGCCTTTATTCTCCATGGGCGCAGCCCATCTGGCTTAACCTCCTGCTCTAACTGTCTCTCCTCCTGTCCCTTCCCTCTCTCCTCCCGTCCCTTCTCCCTCTCCTCTTTCCCATTCTCCCCATCACCTTTCCCGTTCCCTTCCTGCATCTTTCCTCCCTTCAACAGCGAAAGAATTTTGCTCTTGGGCACTCTAGCTATCGACCCCCCATCTTTCCTCCCTTCAACAGCAGCAGAGCTGGCGCTACTCCACCCGGCAACACTGTCACACCTGGCCGTGCAATAACTGCTCTCAGACTCACACCCACTAGCTGCACCCTCAGCCCCTTCTGCACTCATGCTGCTTGAAATTTCACTGGCACTACTATCCCCGCTGCTAGCCTGCACAACGGTAGAATCACCAGCAGGAGCAGACGCTTCAGCTGCACCACCAGCACCAGCACAAGTAGCCGAACCAGCACCAGCCGAACCAGCACCAGCCAAACCAGCACCAGCCGAACCAATACCAGCTGAAGCAGCAGCGGCGAGATTAATATCCCCATCCAAAGCGTTTCTCTCCATCACAGCAGCATCCCCACGCGCACAAGACCCCTCACTCCTGCTGCTGCCACCACCACTGCTGCTCACACCCAAACTGACACTGTCTCCCTGCCTCTCCACGTCCCAAGCATGGCCCTCAGGTGTTTCCTCAGGAGCGCCCCCCTGGCTCACACCATGGACATTCAAGTAACCCCCTGGCTCTAGAGTGGACTCAAAAGCCAACTCGTTTGTCTCAGGAGCAACCCCCTGGCTGATTCCCTTGCCGTGCAAATCACCTCCTGGGCTAAACTCTTGCTGTGCTCCCTGCCCTACCCCCTGCCCTACCCCCTGCCCTACCCCCTGCTCTACCCCCTCCCCTACCCCCTGCCCTACCCCCTGGCTCTCAGCAGCAATATCCCTGTCTCCCTCACCCACAGAGTCCCCCTCATTTACCCCCCGGCACACCCCCTGGCATACCCCCTGGCTCTCCAAGGCGCCCTCCTCTCTCACTCCCTCACTCACTCTCCCACCAGCCTCGTCCTCCCCATCCCCTGCAATAAGCCCCTGCCTGCTCAGCCGTCTCAGATGCTCCTGCAGCTGCAGCAGCCGCCTTGTTGCTGCATCCACTTTATCCTGCCTCTCCGGACTCGTGTTAGCCTTAGATGTCCCGGCAGGTCTGCTGAGGGACTTGAGCACTGCTGCGAACCTGGGGCTGAGGCACGATGGGCTGGTAAGGCCGCTTTTTTTAGTCGACTCGGGAACCGATAACCTGGGGGGGCTGAGACACGAAGGGCTAGATGGGCCGGGTGCGGTGGTGCTAGAGCTTGATGCGGTGGAGAGAGATGCTGTGAGGCCTGTGCCAGCAATTGCAGCAGCAGCATCACCAGCACAAACAGCAGTAGCACCAGCGGCAGCAGCTGCAGCAGCAGTTGCAGTATCACCAGCAGCACCAGTTTCACTCCTCTTCCCCTTTCCCTTCAACCCAAGACACTGTCCGAAGGGATTCTGGTTACCAGAACCGTGCTTCAGATGGGAAGGCAAAGCGCTCATCATACCAGGGTTACCATCTGCTGTCGTAACATGGTTACCACCTTCGCCAGGGATGCTCGTCAGCTGGTCACCATCGTTACAATCACTCCTGCTGCTGTCCAAAAGGCTTCGGAAGGACCCGTCAAACGACGGGTCTTCTCCAGTCCTGAATATCCCGCTGTTCCCTCTGTTGCTTAGCTGAGCGCCAGCGTTTAACCGAGAGCTGGCAAAGGCTTCAAGAGGAAAGGAGAGTGAGAAGCCATCAGAAAGGTCGAGAATGGGCACGGGGAGCATGAACATACAGTTGCCTTCTGAGCTTGCATCGTCTTCCTCCTCATCCCAATCTGAATCCCCATCCTCCTCTTCCTCCTCTTCCGCCTCTTCCTCCTCCTCTTCCTCCTCCTCCTCCTCCTCCTCCTCCTCCTCCCCATCCGCTTTCTCTTCCTCCTCTCCTTCGTTCCATTCGTTTTCCTCACATTCACCACGTTCCTTCCCTCCCTCGTCTTCCCAATACCCTTCACCTTCCCAGTAACTCTTTCCTGCCAAACTATCCCCCCCACATTCCATCTCCGTTCCAACAGCAGCAGCAGCAGCATCAACAGCAGTAACAGCAGTAGCAGCGGCAACGGCAGGACCTGCATGCTTATCCTGCTCTGCATTGCTCCCCCCTCGCCCCTTCCCCTTCCCATCCCCTTTCCTCTCCCCTTTGCCCTCTCCCTTCTTCTCCCCCTTTCCCTTCCCCTTCACCTTCCTCTTCCCCTTCCGCTTTCTCCCAAACCCCCCTCCCAGGCACGAGATAGGAAACGCCGAGCCCCCTCCTCCCTTAGAGCTGCTGATTCTACTGCCAATACTCACACTCCTAGCGTCGTACTCGCTAAGAGCATCCTCAAGAGCGTCATAAGCCGCGGATGGAAAAATCCACCCAGGCGGCGTAAGAGAAGTGGAAATACTGCTCTCTCCTCTGCTATCTCCTAGACTGTCTCCTCTACTGTCTCTGCACTGCTCCCTCAGGCTTGCTTCTAAACCAACATTGAAAGCAAACGAACCCACCCTACCAACACTATCTTCCTCTCCCCCCTCTTCCGCCCTCTCTCCCACTCCCTCTCCCTCTCCCTCTCCTCCACACGCAACCCCAGCTAAAGCAGCACTGCCACACTCCATCTGACACCTGTCCACCTCCATACGCGTTACAGCATGCCCCTGGTTCGTTTCGGACCCACCCCTTTCTCCACCCTATCAGCCAACCCCACAGCCACCTCAAGAGCCGATTCCAAATCCATGCTCGGAACACCCCACTTGCGACGAGCCGAATCCAGACCCATACCAGAGACCTGCTCCATGCTTCCTCCCCCTTGAACTGCGTTCCTTCCTCCTTTCTCATGCTGTGTTGGCCTGGATGCCTTTGCGTCACAAACCTCCTGCTCCACCCGATCAGCAGCCCACATAGCTGCCTCTAGGGCGGATTCTAAATCCATGGTGGGAACAGTCCACATGCGAGGGGCTTGACCTGCCTTCCTCCTCACAATCATCCCCGGCCCTACTCCTCCCTCCGCCACCACTTTCGCCGGCACTCGCATCACCCCACTTCCCGTTCCCCCTGCTCCTCCTCCAGCCCCTCCCCCTCCCCCTGCTCCCCCCACTTCCCTTTTTTTGCGAGGGTAAATCACCCTGGAATCTGCGGCGAAACTCCCTATGGCTGCCTCGACCATCGCTGCTGCTGCCAGAATATCCTCATCGGAGCAGAGAGATGATTCTGCAGGAAATCCAACGGTTGAGAACGGTACAGGGGCAGATTCCATGTAGCCATCACCTGTTACCCTATGAGGAGCGGAATCTGGATCCAGAGGAGACACAGCTGGGGCATCTGGGCCGTTGAACGCTGCAGATGCATCTGGGCCGTTGGATGCAGCAGGTGCATTCGGATCACGAGCAGCAGATTCAGCACCAACGGTGGTGATTGGCAGCTGGCCTTGCACTAACCCCTTCCAGGAAGCACATTCGTTTGCACTTTCGTTTGCACTTTCGTTTGCACTTTCGTTTGCACTTCCTTCTGCGCTCTCTTCTTCTGCTGTTTCTGCACTTGAGATGCCTCGCCCGTGTACTCCTTGCATCCTTTCCCCTTGCCCCACCTGATTCCACGGCACAGCCTGCACGGCCCGCACTGCTGCCCTCACAGCAGCGTGCATGTGGGCTGGTTTCACTCGGATACTATACACGCGCTTCACTCCACTGCCAGCCGTAGCAGCACCTGTAGCATCACTGCCAGCCATAGCAGCACCTGTAGCATCACTGCCAGCAGCAGTAGTAGCAACTGCATAGCCAGCGGTCGCAGCACTGACAGCAGTAGCAGCAGCTGCATAGCCAGCGGCTGCAGCACTGACAGCAGTAGCAGCAACAGCAGCACTGGCAGCAGCAGCAGCTGCAGCCTGCTGTGCCTTGAGTGCTGCAAACTCATCAACGTGGCTGCTGAGTTGGTCAAATGCCTCCTCTATCCTGCCCACTACCCTCGCCACCTCCTCCCCTCCCTCTCCTCCTTCTCCTCCCTTTCCCCCTTCCGCTTCCTCCCCTCCCTCTGCTCTCACTCCTTCCTCCCCTGCCTCCCTTCCCTCTGTCCTCACTCCTTCCTCCGCTCCCTCTCCTCCCTCCTTTCCTTCTCCCTCTAACTTTCCTTCTCCCTTTCGTTTCTCTTCTTCTCCCACTCCTTCCCCTTCGCCTCTCACACATTCCCCTTCTCCTCCCACCCCTTCCCCCTCTCCTCTCACTCCTTCCCCTTCTCCTTCTCCTCTTTCCACCTTCCCTTCTCCCTCTCCTCGCTCACACGACTCCACAAGGCTGCTGAATCGACTGAAAGCTGCTTCAATCCTCTCCAGAGTAACTGCCACTTCCTCCACCAATACTTCTCCCTCTCCCTCCTCCTCGCCCATCCCCACCCTCCCACCACACCCACCTCCCTCTCCTGTCCTCTCCGCTTCCCCAGCCACTCCCTCTTGCTGGCCCGTCTGTGACTGGTTCCCCAGCCGACTCTGTTGCTTATTCAGTAACATACTCTCACAACTATCCTGGGCTCGGCTTTGCTGTGGTGAGTGCTGTGGCGCGTGTGGCGTGTGCTGTGATAAGTGCAATGACGCCCCTTGGTGTGATCCGTACCCCTCCCCCCCCCTATAATCACTCGCGTTACTGTCACAATTGCTGCTCCCTAAGCTGTGGCTACTGCTTGTATGAACCCCCGGGCCCTCCCGCTCAATCTTATCCTCTCCCACCCACCGCCCAGCGTATCCAGCTCGGATCTCTGCCAGCCTGGCAGCCAGCTCAGCGTCTCTCTTGATGGCCGCCCGGGACGGCAGGCCACTCGTGGCACGCCACCTGGCGGCCGAGACCGGGCGGCAGGGGACAGAAAGACGGCGATGCTGCTGACCTGGCGGTGACTCAAAAGCGCGTGCATAAGCTGGAGCTGACTCAGCAGCAGGATGCAGCTGGGGGGAGTCGACTGTTGTCACCAATTCAGCTGCGATTGTTGCTGCTATTGCTGTTGTGGCAGCTGTAGCTACTGGTGTGGCTGCTGGAACTGCTGAAGCCTCCACTGGTGCCACTGAAGCCCCCACTGGTGCGGCTGCTGCTGCAGATTCTGCCCCGCCACTGTATCCCCCACCAGTGGGAGGCAGCTTCTGCTGTCCTGCCAAGCCACACTCATCCCTCAACTCCCTTTCAGCCGAATCTCCAGACGTTGCAAAAGTTGCTGAAGCATCAAGAGAGGCTGAAGCATCCGCTGAAGCGCCCGGGGCGGCCTCACATTTCCCCAGGCTTGCTTCTCCTCTATTGGCCAGCACTGACAGCAAGGCCGAGGGGAGAGTTGCTGACGCCAGCAAGCTCCCAGAAAAGGATTCCGCGGATGCTTTCGTGCGGCGGAGGGGCGTGATTGCGTCGGTGCACGCAAGGGACGCAGGTGCTTCAGTGCAGGGGAGAGAATCCGCTGCTGTTCGGAACGAGAGTGATGCCAATGGCTCAGCATGCCCTTCCTGACACCCATCACCATCACCGCCTCCCCCAGCGCCTCCCCCAGCGCTCTCCCCAGCGCTCCCCCCAGCGCTCTCCCCAGCGTTCCCCCCAGCGCTCCCCCCAGCGCTCTCCCCAGCGCTCCCCCCAGCGTCCCCCTCACCAGCCTGCTGCTCCCCACCCTTGTCAACCGTGCCTTCCCCTGCCACTGCTGCAGTGTTCGCATCAAACACCCGCTCGTTACAGTCACTCTCGCTACTAGCACAAGCCCTGCCTCCCCTGCTGCCACTAACGCTGCCCCCAGCAACAGCCATGCTACCCGCTTCAACAGAACCCAAACCTCCGCACCTCGTGTCTTCGCCCTCTCCCCCATCCCCTCCAGCAACCTTAAAACCGGACTGCACCATCATGGAGTCATCCAACCCACCCACTAACGAATCAGAGCCGTTCCTGCCCCAGCCCTTGTCCCTCCGAAACGCGTTGATATGCATCTGGTTACGCTTCCCCACTTGCCTGAACTTATCCGTAAAACCCACCTGCTCCCCCCCGTTTGCCCCGCCCCTCCCCACCATATCAAACGATAAGCCGTAATCACTGTAGCTCGCCATGTCCACAGACCCATCATCCCCTAACTCGCAATCCTCCTTTAATCCGGTGCCTGCTCCGTTTTCCCTTGCCTCCCGCGCTTCGCTAGAAGCCCCTTCGTTATTTTCACTCTGTCTGCCACTCGTACGGTTGGAGTTGCTGTGCTCCGCTATAGAGTCGGGCAATTGACCTTCTAACGAGCCAGAACGACTCCTCTCCTTGGCCCTTCTTATCGCGTTGATATGCATCTGGTTCCGCTTCCCCGCTTGCCTGAACTTATCAGTAAAACCCACCTGCTCCTCCCCGCTTGCCCCGCCTTTCCCAACCATATCAAACGATAAGCCATAGTCACTGTAGCTCGCCATGTCCACGTGTCCATCATCCCCTAAATCACAATCCTCCTTTAATCCGGTACCTGCTCCGGTTTCCCCTGCCTCCCGCGCCTCGCTAAAAGCTCCTTCATTATTTTCACTCTGTCTGCCACTGCCACTCAGACGATTGGAGTTGCTGTGCTCCGTTATAGAGTCGAGCAGTTGACCTTCTGACGAGGCAGACCGGCTCCTCTCCCTCTCCTTAACCCTTTTAATCGCGTTGATATGCATCTGGTTCCGCTTCCCCATTTGCCTGAACTTATCCGTGAAACCCACCTGCTCCTCCCCGTTTGCTCCGGCCTTCCCAACCATATCAAACGACAAGCCATAATCACTGTAGCTCGCCATGTCCGCGTGTCCATCATCCCCTGAATCACATATCTCCTCTAATCCGGTTCGTGCTCCGGTTTCCCCTGCCTCCCGCGCCTCGCTAGAAGCTCCTTCGTTATTCTCGCTCTGTCTGCCGCTTTCACGGTTGGAGTTGCTGTGCTCCGCTATAGAGTCGAGCAACTGACCTTCTAACGAGCCAGACCGACTCCTCTCCTTGGCCCTTCTTATCGCGTTGATATGCATCTGGTTCCGCTTCCCCACTTGCCTGAACTTATCCGTAAAACCCACCTGCTCCTCTCCGCTTGCCCCGGCCTTCCCCACCATATCAAACGAAATACCAAAATCACTGTAGCTCGCCATATCCACACTTCCATCTACAGTACCGTCTAAAATATCATCTCCTTCATAAAAGGGGGTATACATACCCGTTACAAGCGCACTCGATCGAGGCAGACTACCAGAAATCTCGAGCGCGGCAGACTCGAGATCCGCAATTCGCGTCAGGCGATTGCGTAAGTCGCACGATTCCCCCCTCTCCTGCCAACTCTCGGCTTCCGTGACTATACTAAGCGCGCGCGTTAAGTTCATAAGCCTCGGCATCACAACATCCTCGCTATAGGCTTGCGACGATGATGACTCCAAAACGCCGCTGTCTCCTGTCTTTTCGGTCCCTCTCGCACTTCCGGCCGCTTTCAGTCCCGAAAGAAAAAACGGCCCTCCTTTCCCGTTGGTTACCACGTCGACGGTTCGCCGGATCCATTTCGCGCCTTTCTTCCCACCTCGCAGGCTGATTTGCTTCAGTCGGTGCAAAGACAGAACCTGCTTCGCCGCGCCAGTAAAAGCAGCGGACCCAGATAACGTCTCCGACTCGTGTTGTAAGCCCTGTAAGTCTGGCCGCGAACTCGGTAACGCTGCTCCGTAACTATCAGGATGAACCGAAGACTGCGCGTCAACGTCATGACAATCGGAAGATTCCGGTCCGTCAGCTTGCTGCGATTCGTAGACGGAATCTTCTGGTAAGGCGTCGAGTTGCGAGGAGTGTGCAGAACCGTCGATTTCATGAGCAGTTTCCGGTGAAGGTAGCGCCGCGTCGCTCGCCAAGGCACGTCCGGCGCTGTCGACTATTGCCTCTTCCACGGACTGGTACTTAGAATCGTAGAGAAGGACGTACGCGTCTCCGCAGTCTACTAAAACTAGTGAGTCCTCCTCGTTCGACATTTGTCCTTTATTCTCGGGATTCATGAACTAGGATGAGCTAAATTGGAGTTAGAAACCGCGGTTACGGAACGCGAGAAACGAATTAACTGTTTCTAAGCGGTTCCTAAAACGAGTCAGAACCTCTGGTGTAGATGGCAAAAATTTGCTCCTCTCCAAGAAGATCGACGGAGCCTTCCTTCCCGTGTCGGGGGAGGGGGACGGTGGTGGTTTGGGTGCAGCAAAATTCCGTCTGGCGCAAGTTGTGTGCCTGCTGATGTGCGCGAGTCGCAGCACGCGGACGTGGGCGCGGAATGAAAGCGCCAGTGGCCCCACCACCACCATTGGTGCGCCTCCCGCATGGCTTGTCGGTGCGAAAGATGAACGGCAGTCTGGGGGAGGCGGGAAAGGGACAGGCGGGAGCTTCCATCCACGGATGCTCCAGCATCACACGGCAAGGAAGCAGCCTTTCCATGAAGTTTGTACATCGTTTTAGGGGGTGTCCAGCTCGTACATTTACTGTTCGTAAGCCCGCTCAGTTACCACATTTTTTGCTGTAACACTGTATTGAACGTGTCCTGCGGACACAATCAGCTTTCGTTCACAAAACGGCACGCCCCCTGCACGTACCTCATGTCGTCTGACTCACGTTACTGGAATCAGCGGGGACACGAACAAGGGTACAGCACCGCGTCCTGGCCACTACAGTAGCGCCCCCTGTATCGCTTGCACAATTTCGCCAGTAGCTCGCTACACTCGTCAACACACCCTCCGCCTGCCCAAAAATTCGTTAGCTATGATTGACGACGGAAACAGTTACCTCGTTTTGAACGCGATCAGAGCACTGTTGATTCGTGTGGCGGAGAACGTGTCCGCGCTCCTGAAATTACATGTAGGTGGGACTCAACTCACAATGCATTCGTTTTTAGGTACAGTGAATATTTTTGAACCTCGAGACGTGTGTTGGCACTAAAAACCCAGAAATGAACGAACTGGACACCCCCTTACTGTAAGCAATCCATCTTTATAGAGTACAGCGAATCCCAACGCCGCGAAATCTGCAGCTTTGAATGATCAATTTCGTTTTCCCGCCAAACTGCTTTTCTGCCACTCTCTGCGTATTCTCCAGGCATCAAGGATTCAAGTTTCGCTTTCTTCAGTTGCTTCATTCTTGCCTGCTCAGCAAGTTTTATTCATCAGTTAGAACTAAGTGACGCTGGGAAGTGAAGACACCAAATGCGTGTTTCCTTCTCAAGCTCTTTAGCCGTGTGCCTAAATTCCAGGTGTGAGTGGTAGACGACTTTCTGGTTATTGATTTAGTCGAATAGATTAGTCTTCGTGTACAGCATTATGACATTCAGTAGAGCGTGACCTTAGATTCCAATCCATCGGCTCAAATTTAGATTCGCGTTCCGCTTTGTTATCCAGCCAACGTCACGATTGTTAGGCGTGACTATACCTTCGCCCAATGGATTTCAACGTAACTTCGCGAAAACGAGCCGCACCTTCCGTCGCACAGGGTCCCGGCGCGGTCGGTGCTGACGGTCGCGGCGTAGGTCCTTCGGGATGGAAATCCTCCGCAAGAAGCGGCGGAGTTTCAGCGTGCCAGTTGTCGATGTACGACGAGGCGCCGGTGGGGGAAGAGGTGGCCATGGAGCAATTCGAGGAGTTCGCGTTGGACCGGCTCCGGGGTGAGCTAGGATTAGAAAAAATGGCTCAGGTCTTGGAAAAACAAATCGGGGAGAGCTGCCATATGCAGAATTCGAAGCGTGCAGTATAGAACTGAACGGCCGAATGGACGGTCCGAGAATCTTTTGGTAGCGCTGATTCCGGTTAAGACGTCTGTGCCATTCTGTTGCTCCACTGGCGAAAATGGTTTAAATTCACCTTGGGAGGTGTTGTCCTGTAATGGATGCTTTCGGGGGTGTCTTTCACTGCGAAAGGCTAATGGACTCTTCAAGCGATAGGTTTTTATGTGCGTTGGGCTCAAGGTGACCGACGGCGCCTTGTCTTGCGGCGGCGTATAACGCGTACAACGCGGAACTGAAGCGAGCCTTATTTTTCCGTGTGCGCAGTGCTCAAGGCGATCGACGACGCCAAGGCGCGCGGAACAAAGGTGGACGAGCTCGACAGCATGGTATGTGCGTCCTACCTTTGAAAGGAAGGCGGAAACGTTTAGAAATGGCAGGAACGTGCATAATGGCATTGAACAGGGTGAGAAGGATGTCATCATGCCGTTTCTTTCGTTCCAAATGATGGTTCTTCCTGTTTTTCGTGACAATATGGTACTTTTATCTTTCGGTGGCATCAGACAGGCTCAGAATGGGGCGTTGCTATTTACGTGCAATACGTTTTGTTTCGCAGGTATCTGACATATGGCGGAAGTACATGCGGGCTGGATGCTCAGTGGCTGACGCTCGTCGCAAGGACGTCATATCGCACTACATCCTGCGACTCTCCTACTGTCGCACGTGAGCCTTTTGAGACGCCTCAGAACTCGCCTATTGTCGCACATGAGTCGTTAGAGATATTTCAAAGATCCCCTACTGTCGACTAAGGGTTTGCATCACTCGGCTCGCAATGTTGTACCCCTTAAGTGGTCCATTATTCACTTGGCGGTGGTTCAGGGAGGAGCTACGGCGGTGGTTGTTGGCGCAAGAATCCGCTTTGTTCCGCCACCGATTCCGAGCTGAGACGCCTGAAAACCAGGTGAGTTTCCAGATACGATTCGGGTGCATTGCGGAAAAGGGCTAGAATTCCGTCAGATATTTATTTGGATGATTAAGTGTGACGCCAGTCTAGTAGTGGGAAGTTTAATGGAGCAGTGAGGAATCTCGACAGTTTGCAGGGAGTTCAGAAAATTAGAGGAGCGTTTAGACGATCAAGTGGGGGTCCAACCTTGGAGAGTTTAAACTGCTTCTTTCGTACCCACACTACTACACGTGAATCCATTTCATGTACCGTCTTTACCCCGTTCCTCCCCTTTTCCCCTGTTGCCCCCCCTCCCCACCGTCAATTGCCATACAGAGGTGGTTTCTGGAGAGCAATGGCCTACCCTATCGTGCCATCGGCGCGGCAGAGATGACAGTAAGTGCATACTGTAAGGTGCTTAGGTCATTGACGAATCTGAGGTTACTGGCGTTTATCAAAGTATCATACCAGCCTCCTGCTTGCATTTTTGCGTTCCTTTACTAATTCTCGCCAAATTTAAGAAAAAAAAAACAAAAATCCACTAATCCGGATTCCGTCCTCTCGTCCTCTCCTCCACTAACGCAGGGAGTGCGAGAGAAGCTAACTCAAGTGGCCAGGTCCCTCAACCTACCTGTCCCTAATGGTATTCTACCTATTCTACCTTGAGTCAGCTCAGTCTTTTTGCTAACGAATTATTGCCAGTCAAACACTGTTCGTACCTTCCTCTGGTAATTCTGACACCAAGGATTGGTACCTTCAGCCGTTGCTTGCCGCCCATCTCAGTCATTACTGTTTTTGTTTTTGCACGATGTTTTCTAGCACTGACGTCCAACCTGCCCCTTTTCAAACCTGCTTTTTTTTTCCATCCCGCCCTTTTTCCAACCTGCCCGTTGTCAACCTTTCCATTTCGTCTTGGCGACCTTCATCACACAACTGCTCCAGTTGACAGTGTCTTCTACAAGGTATGTCCATTCGTTGTGAAATTCTGCACGCACGTATGCAAGGTAAATTTGTGAGGTAATCTGTGAGGGCGTGACTGCTCCAGTTGACAGTGTCTTCTACAAGGTACATCCATCTGTTTTTACGGAAACTCGTTTTAGTGCATACTTGCTCGTTTTGTCGTTTGTGCACGCACTGACATGCTCGCTGGCAGGTACAGGGAGGCAGTAACATGGAAGCTTCATCATCTACCCCCCCATCCACCATCCCTTATCTTCCCCTCCACGGCAGGTTCCATTTGAGGAAGTCCCTGATTTGGTGGCTTCTCGCAGGGTCTATCTCGAAAAGGGCTTTGCTTTTGTCCCTAGGGACCAGGTACGGCTAGTCCCTTCAATGATCGAAAAGGGCTTTGCCTTAGTCCTCAGCGGCCGGAAATGCTATTGCATGTCCTTTAATATACTGAAATCATGTGTTCTCCCCTAGCTCCCTTGGCCGCAATTTGTTTCCCTCATGGCAGTCCTGCAATTTCTTCATCTTGCTTCTATCCCTTCTCTCCCCTTCGTTCCATTGCATGTCACTCCATGCGTGTGCCAGCTGGCGGCGATTGTGGTGGGTCAGTTTAGAGCCAAGCTGTCCAAAGCACTCGTGGCTACCAACAGGTTGATTCTTCACTCACATCCCATTTGTACTTGCGTAAATGATACTTCACTCACATCCCATTTGTACTTGCGTTTCAATGATACTTCACTCACATCATCCCATCTCATGGATCCATAAATTGATGTTCCATGGCCCAACAATCTTTCCATTTGGTTGATGCTTCACGTCTCATGAATATATCCTGATACTAATGTTTCCCTTCTCACTAATATGTTCATTAATTCAAAGTTTCCTCATTAGTGTTTCCATTGCCATTTCCACTTTGCCCGTTTCCATTACTTTTTCCATTTTGCCACCTCCCAGGAAGTGGCTTGCTCACATACAGGAAGACGAGCAGGAGCGCCTGACACCGGTGATTGAGGCGCTCAGCACACGCTATCTAGGCCCCGACTTCTCCCAGGTAGCAATACACCCGTATGAGAAGACTTTTTTCAGATATTTAACCTATATGAAAATACTTTTCCCAGGTAAATTTCTATCTGTATGAGGAAAGATCCTCCCATGTTGTACACCTGTATGAAAGGACTCCTACTAACCCCACTCCACGCCCCCTCGCCCACCACCCCCTCTCTCCACTGCCCTGCCAACCTGGCGAGGCTGCTGAGGAAGCTTTGAGTAAACTCAAAATCCACCCTTCAAACCCCATCCCCTCTTTCTTCCCCCCCCTATCCCCCTCCCTTCCCGCACTGTTCTGCCAGCCTGGCGAGAGTGCTGAGGTGTCGCTCCGTGATTTGGACGTCGTTGCGCGGCAGTCTTTCCCGCTCTGCATGCGCCACCTCTTCTTCAAGGTACGGATTCTTTGCACCTACGCTTGATCCGAGAAAATGCACCATCAACGGACGGCACGGGGGAAGAATGCGAATGTGATCTGTGTCCCATAGTTCATGCCTTGTGCCCCGTGCCCCGTGCGCCACCCCCACCTCCCATGTCCCATGCTTGTATGACAACCATCACCAGCTGAGGGAGGAGCATCATCTGCAGCACGGAGGCAGAATGCAACTGTGCCCTGTGTCCCATCGCTCATTCCTTGTGCCCCACTCCCCACGCCCCACGCCCCATGCCCCACGCCCCATGCCCCTCACAACCACCACCAGCTGAGGGAGGAGCATCATCTACGGCACGGAGGCAGAATGCAGCTGGGGCTGTTTCTCAAGGTACAGTTTCAAATGGGTTTGTGAGTCTGCTAAACTATTGGGGGCAAAATGCAGCTTGGGCTGTTTCTCACACACTCAATACATTCTAATGTTACAGATTAGAATGGATCTTTGAGTTGACTAAAACATTAGGGGCAGAATGCAACTGAGCTGCACTCACCTTCTGGTGCTCTTGCTTCTGTGTCTTCTCCATTCCAACCTATAATTTCTTCTCTCCTGTTGACTCCATTTCTCCTTACTGTCCCTTCCTCTATCCCCTCCCCCCACCTTTCTTCTTCGCAGGGCATCGGGCTGAGATTGGAGGATGCACTCACATTCTGGCGCTCTGAGTTCTCCAGAAAGGTATGTCCACCACTCCCCTCAGCCCTGCACTCTCTTCGAGACACCTAAGAAACCGTGGGAGTTTGCGGCGCCTAACAGAGCACCGAGCTGAGATTGGAGGATGCACTCACATTCTGGCGCAGTCCCGCAGGTTTGAGGCATCTAAAACGATCATCAGGCTGCGCCAGAATGCGAGTGCATCTTCCAATCTCAAGCTGAGGTTGGAGGGCACACTCACCTTTTGTGTGGCGCCCTGAGTTTTCCGAATTGGTACGTCCTCGTCTATGGCAGCACTTGTAATTTTTCTGTAACTTTGAGGTGCCTCAAAACTTGATGCATGCACTTACAAAATCCACTACTCCCTTTTCTACCTTATAACCTTTTTGTTCTTTGTTGTTCTTTATTGTAAAATCACAGTTGGGTGCAGAGCGGTTTGATAAGGAGTATGCATATTCCATCCGGCACAACTACGGCAAGGAGGGCAAGCGCACCGACTACACTCCCTTCTCCTGTGTGAAGGTCATCATGAGCACTCCGGGCGTGGGGGATCACCACGGGTGTCCATTCAAGCACTTCAGGTGTGTGTGATTTTGATGGGAATGTATTTATTCAATGTTTCTGAGGTGTAATCTTCCATAACATCCATCCTTTTCCCTTGTATATTCGCAGCATGAACAACTTCAGAGCTGCCCTTTCGTAGTGGACTAAGAGGGCTTTGTCATTACAAAAAAATATATATGTTTTTATCCCTCTGGCATGCCTGTACTTGTGCAGCGAGGACAACTTGAGAGCCGCAATTTCTCGCATGGGGGTGTCGTCAGGATCAGCCATGGATGAGATCATGCAGAAAACACGGCAGCAGCACTACCAGGTAGGCTACCTCGTCTCTGCAGTAAGCTCGCTGAGTCTCTGTGCAAGGTAACTGAGATGAATGGATACGTCAATAAAATCCTGCACAGACCAGATAAGTCACGTTTGCAGTACAGAATTGTGCCTTCACAATCCCGTTTTACTACTATTTGTTCCTTATTTATGGCAGATTTCATGTGCTTTAACCTTTGAGGCATCGCAAGGAGCTGCATGTCCGACGGGGATCACACATCCTAATCAATACTTCATGCTTAGCCGACAGGTTATTGAGGTATGTTCATGAGCATGATAAGTGATTCATTTACGTATTTATTCACTGTTCTTTAACTTTCTAAGCATGTGGATACTTGTTTTATCAATACGAATGCAGGGACGAACTCATCACCCATCTCTCCCACAAGCACAACAGCCAAGACAACCAGAGTCAAATGCCAACAATGAAAGTGAAAGGTCAGGAGCAGCTGGTAGCAACATTGGAAGGGAGGGTACAGCAGATCCCAGTTCTTTAGCACGGAGTGCAGGAGGGGATGCGAGGCCCCAGCTAGTAATTGGAGATATGGACGTTGACACCTGAAAGGGGGATCTTTAGTGCTGGTTAGGAATGAAGTGTGAGTGTATGTGAGTGCGCGCTTGTGGTATATTGTATGATGGTGGTAATGTACATAAGATAGTACAGATCATTATCAGGTCTGTCACTTCCGTCAGGCCCAAGGCTCGAGGTAGAGCATATCGAAAATCAACTTTATTCGCCTGCTTTCTCGCTGGTTCCCTGATTCATTGCTGATGCATTTTCGCGAACGCGGTCGTTGAAGATCCTCGCGGATTGGTTCCGTTCAGGGCGAGAGAATTGCTCCAGTGCCTTGTTTGGTGATTCGCTCTTGCCCACGTGTCCCCGAATTGCTCGAGTGGCCATCCAATTCAGTGATAATTGCTCGAGTGGCCATGCCAGGGCATTTTCGATGTGTTTATTTTCCCTGGCACATAACCCTACAAGGGTTCGTACCCACGAAATTCCTCGTTCGCACAACAGTAGATGCGCGGTCATTTTCGGCCCAATGCGCGACCAATGAGCGCGCGGGCAATTACATCAGCGATCATAAACTGCAACGCCTGTTCATAAATGCACGAACATATTATTGACCGCGCACGATTGGTCGATAATATGCTTCTTGCCCTTTTTGGCAATACGCGTCCAATCACGCACGGTCATATAATTCACGACCATATATTTAGGCGATAAAGCTTCGCCCAACAACCAATATGAGCGCGCATATACTACCATTAGTTCTATCATATGTCCGGTCCATATAAAACCATGCATATCAAATGCCATAAATATATTCTCTGCTATTAATTTAAGCCCGTCTTACTAGAAATAATATTGTATCGTAGCCTATCATAATATTAAGCCCATCATACCGTGGTCCATAATATTGTATTGCCGGTAATATGGTTGCAGAAATAATATGTTCGGCAGCATAATATTAATTTAAGCCCAGCATAATATGCTGCCACCACGGTTATGATGGGCTTAAATTAATAGCATGTAATATATTTATGACATTTGATATACATGGTTTTATATGGACCGAAAATATAATAGAACTAATGGTAGTATATGCGCGCTCATATTGGTTGTTGGGCGACCCTTTATCACCTAAATATATGGTCGTGAATTATATGACCGTGCGTGATTGGATGCGCATTGCCAAAAAGGGCAAGAAGCATATTATCGACCAATCGTGCGCGGTCAATAATATGTTCGTGCATTTATGCTCTGGCGTTGCAGTTTATGATCGCTGATGTAATTGCCCGCGCGCTCATTGGTCGCGCATTGGGCCGAAAAAGCCCGCGCATCTACTGTTGTGCGAACGAGGAATTTCGTGGGTACGAACCCTTGTAGGGTTATGTGCCAGGGAAAACAAACACATCGAAAATGCCCTGGCATGGCCACTCGAGCAATTATCACGGAATTGGATGGCCACTCGAGCAATTCGGGGACACGTGGGCAAGAGCGAATCACCAAACAAGGCACTGGAGCAATTCTCTCGTTCAGGGCGCTCCCAAACTGAATCAACTATGGAGTTTACCGTACCGAGTATACTTACACCGCACAGAAAGACAAGCGAATCGTAGCCGAACGAGCGGTACCGAAACCGGTGGTCCGATATTTTCTGCAGGTGGCTTGATCTCGACAACTACAGAGTCACTGCTTCGGCTTCTCCAGGCTGAATGGTTCTTCAGCCAGATCAACATCTGACCTTGAATTGCAGTTGAGATCGATAGACATCAGTATTCCATTTTCAGGGGAAAATAGTTGGTTCTTGACTCATTCAAAGCGATTTATAAGGGCTCGACATCATGGGGAAAGCGGAGATTATCTCGAACCTCTTGCTGGCCGGTAGGACCTTGTTCGATGGCTGCCATCGTTCATGTTTTTTCATGCATTTGTACTTGAAACCAGCTTCTAAGTGCTTCCATGTTTTATTTAATCGAGATCCGAAGAACTACGTACTGTTTAATCACGTTTATCCCTCATGCAATCAATAATTTAACACATTCAGGATCCGTACTTCCATCCGAGTTCCATCTTCACTTATTAACGGATTTTCAAGTGCTTACGCTGAAGTTTTTTGTGCCTAGGTTCCCAAACTCAACAGCAGCTCAGTATTCCCTAGTAATTACTTGTTTCTGCTGTCCATTCTGACCTCCATCTGACCGCTACAGGACTATCCGTGGCTCCGCTCTTTGTGAAAATCAACCCCAACTTTAATGTCGTCGCCATGGCTTCGTTAACCGTGTTCGCTGGCTGTTATCGATCCGTCAAGCCGGCCGCTCCAGCTGTGAGTAGACCATTCGAGTCTTGCGGCTGTAAAGTCGTCGCAAACCGTAAGCTCTTGTTACCACTAGCATCGCCAGCCTTGTTTGCTGATCGTGTTTGATATTTTAAGCTGAACTAACTAGGAATTACCTCATTTCGCATGTCCTCACCACCTTCCGCTATCCCTACTCCCCCCCTCCGTTCTCTTCCTCATTCTCTATCTTAGACACGAGATCAGTTTGAATTCACTTCAGAGTATTCCGCGTTTCCTCTTCGATCCGTGCAGGAGACGATGTAGAAGGAGCACGCCATGCGATTCCCGTCATCAGCCGTTTTCACACTTCTCACTTCCCTCACCTCCCCCCCTCCCCATTCCTGCTCCTTCCCTTCCCCCTTCCGCCTCCCATGCGTGCAGGAGACGATGTCGAAGGAGCACGCCATGCGCTTCCCCATCATCGGCAGCTGTGTGCTCTTCTCGCTCTTCCTGCTCTTCAAGTTCCTCCCCAAGGACCTCGTCAACATGGTGCTCAGCGCCTACTTCGTCTTCCTCGGAGTCATGGCCATCGGGTAAGCCATTGTTGACTAGCGTGTGGTGGGAAGAGGGAGGGGAGGAAAGGTTGGGCGATTTTGGCGTTGACGGTACGTTCCCACTACTCGGGACCCTCCCCCAAGGACCTGGTGACCTCGTCAACACGGTGCTCAGCGCTTACTTCGTTTTCCTGGGAGTCATGGCCATCGGGTAAGCGATTGTTGACTGGCGTGTGGGAGATGGGGAGAAGAGGAGAGGAAAGGGGGAAGGGGGTGAGAGAGAGCGGGGAAAGTGGGGGTCAACGTTGACAAGGTGCTCCTTTACTTGAGCTCTTCCCCAAGGACCTGGTCAACATGGTCCTCAGCGCCTACTTCGTCTTCCTGGGGGTCATGGCCATCAAGTACGCCTAAGGCAGGCAAGCGTGCTGAATGTGTGGCATGACTTCTTCTTGACTTGCTTACCTTCCTATGTTTGACTCACAAGACGCGAAACAACTTGTTCCAACCACCCAACACATCTGTTGCCTGTGCTCTGAACGAATCTGTCCTCTTTGTTGCACTTGAATTGGTTGAGATTAGGTCATTAGACCAAGGCATGGCGTGCAGAAGCTTGCAGTTTCGCTATGTGAAGGTACCGATTCGTCTAGGAACAGACGCACCTCCTTGTGTTCCTCTCTCTTACGTTTATGCCCTGCGTTCCTGCCTTCCGTGAGTGCACACACCTCCCAATCTGCATCCACTCGCAATTTGTTCCCACTCTGCGTGCTTCATGCACCCCCCCCCTATAACCGTTCTTCCAACAGGGCCACAATTCTTCCCCTTGTGTCGCGATTTGTGCCTGCAAAGTGGAACGAGGATATTTTCTACTGGAAAGCACCCTATTTTAAAGGTATTTATCAGTTTATCTCTTCCAGTTGGCAAACATCGCCTGTACACATTCTGGAGGCTGAACATACAGCACCAAACCACCAAAGTTACTGCTTTCAGCACGATTGCAGTTATTAGATATCTGCTCCGATCAGATTTTCACCTAAGCTCTCTAACATCGTCCCCAGATGTTGAAACGGAGCTCACATGACAGTTTCTCAGGCTTCAACCTTTTTATCGACTCAGAAATCCCTCTGTTCCCGACCTCTCTTCCCTCCCAGATTTTGAAACTGAGTTGTTGATGGCTCAGGCGGTGGCTGGCCTTCCGCCTCTCTCCCCCTCCCACTTTACCCCCCTACCACATCTCTCCCTTGCCCCCCATCTGTCTCCCCCTCCCCCCGTCTCTCTCCCCACCTTAATTCACTCCCAGATCTTGAGATAGAGCTGACGATGGCGCAGGTGGTGGTGGGCATTCCGAGTTCAGCCTTCTGACGATTGCAGTTGGTGAAACATCTGCTCCACCAGTGTCTACCTTTCCCCCCTCAAGCGTCAGCACCTTTCCCTTAACCCTCGTCGCCCCCAGATTTTGAGATAGAGCTGACGATGGCGCAGGTGGTAGCGGGCAATCCGAGCTCCGCCTTCTGTGTGTGGTATGTCACGCGCAAGCACTGGTTCGCCAACAACACCTTCTCTCTCCTCTCGTTTCTCTCACTAACCCTCCGCCCCCAGATTTTGAGATAGAGCTGACGATGGCACAGGTGGTAGCAGGAATCCCCAGTTCGGCCTTCTGCGTGTGGTACGTCACGCGCAAGCACTGGTTCGCCAACAACGCCCTCGGCCTCGCCTTCTCGCTGCAGGGCATCGAGATGCTCTCCCTCGGCTCCTTCACCATCGGCGCCATTCTGCTGGTGAGGTGGGGAGGTGGGTTCATTGTCAAGCCGAGTTGGTGGGTGGTTCATTATTTCCAAGCCCACAGGTTTGCACATCCACCAAAGGTTTGCAGGGCATCGAGATGCCCTCCCTCGGCTCCTTCACGATCGCCGCCATTCTTTGGTGAGGTGGGGGTGGGAAATGATTCACTAGTCAAGCCTAAATGGTGGGCGTTTGGTGGGTGGTTCTGAAGCCACAGCTTGCCAGGTCTACCCAATTGAGATGCTCTTCCTCGAAAGAGCTGGTATGGTGTTCAGATGATCTTCTGTTAGATTCACGTTCTTGGTTCACTCAGGTACCTGTCTGTGACGATCCCAGATGAGTCATGGTGGTGCCAGTCTACTCGTTTGCCCCATAACCATCTTCTATTCTTCCCCATAGCCCACACTCCCCACCCAATCGCTTTCCCTGTCTGATCTTTCTCCCCCCCAGACTGATCTTCTCTTCTACGACATCTTCTGGGTCTTCTACACCCCCGTTAGGTCTGCTGTGGCCGTTTCCTCTGTGCCCAAATCTCACCACCTCCTTACTCCCCCACCACCCCCACCGTGCTGCGCCCTCGTGCTTCCCCCAGACTGGTCTTTTCTTCTACGACATCTTCTGGGTCTTCTTCACTCCAACTAATTCTGCTATGGTCGTTTCCCCTGTGCCCAAATCTTACCTCCTCCTGCCCATCCCTTTCCCCCTCCCCTCTCCACCCTGCCCCTTGTTCTCCTCCCCCCCAGACGGGTCTTTTCTTCTACGACATCTTCTGGGTCTTCTTCACTCCCGTTATGGTTTCTGTTGCCAAGTCATTTGATGCGCCCATCAAGGTACGCAGAAACAACAAGCACAAGGTTTGCAAGGTAGTCAAAACAATAAGCAAAACAGCTGCAAGGCTAGCAGAAATAGATGCAAGGTATGCAGAGCAGAGCCATCTCTTTTGACATGAACATGAAGCCTGGCGTTCCAGCTGCTTGAAGAAGACACGCCACTGGTTTGTTTCTTATTCTGCCTGTTGTAGCTCCCTTCACACCCTCCCACTTTCCTTCTCACACTCCTAGTGCTCTCAACGCCTTAACTTGTTTTTCCCAAATTTGCTGCAGCTGCTGTTCCCAACTGGTGACCTCGCGAGACCCTTCTCCCTGCTGGGACTGGGCGACATTGTCATCCCTGGTATGCTAGCTGCTCCTGCTCCTTCTCTCTCACCTGCTACTCCTGTGAGCAAGCAATGTATGAGAATTCACCTCCAGCTCCCCGCTGTCATATGTGTCCTCGTTTATGCTCTTTGTTACCCTGTTTTGCTGTATATCATTGACTTCCTTGCGCCTCTCTCTGAGGTGAGTACACACAACTAACCCTTATGCAATGTGCACCCACACTTCACACTGCACGTGTCTTTGAGGATTCTCAGAAATCACATTACACCCTTCTCCACCCCCCTCTGCACCCACTCTACCCACCTAAGCCTCTTCAGTGGACTCTCAATTATCACATTCCACCCCTTTGTTTTCCACTCAACCCCCTCTTCATCCGCACTTCCCACTGCAGGCATTTTTGTGGCCCTTGCTTTAAGGTTCGACGTCTCGAGAGGCACAGGGCCACGTTACTTTGTCTCCACCTTTGCCGGTTACATGGCTGGGATCATTACCACCATCTTCGTTATGAACTACTTTCAAGCTGCCCAGGTATGTGCATAAGCATTCAGAAGTTGGTGAACTCGCTCCGTGCTATCATTGAAAGGCTGAAATTTTGGTTCCCGCATTTTCTCATGTGTTTCTTCTGTGTTTGGTATGGATTCTCTGTGTGTGCAGCCTGCCCTGCTTTATATTGTACCCGGAGTCATGGGTTTCCTAGGTGTACACGGCGCAATTCGAGGAGAACTTAAGGAGGTATGTTTGAATGTCATTGTTGTTTTGCGTTATGCATTTAATTTTATTCATTTATCTGTGCCTTTGTTTGAACGTGGTGATCAATTTATTTACTGTTTTGTGTTGTGGCAGCTATTGGCTTATGATGAGTCTGGGGATGGTGACGATAAGGGTGGTGATCATGACGGTGAGGTGACTAAGGATGGAGAGAAGCCATCAAGCACACCAGCCCCGTCCACGAAGAAGTCGGGGAAAGCTGATTAATGAGTTAATCTCATATGAACAATTGTACAATAATCCCAATTATCTAAATTCCCCGAGTCTTGCAAAATTATTATTCACATACGTGTAGCGAACAAGTACTTTTATGTGGTTGTACCATTGCAATCGACTCCACTATCGACAGACAGCACACGCTGCCCGTGCGTGTATCGATAGTTCCAGCAGGGATGTGGAATTCCCAAGAAGCACAGGTTGTGCTTGCGGCAATCTTCTGGAAGGTCTTTCAGTTCTGACCTAGCTTTCATTGCATTGATGTCTGGACCGGACCAGAGACGCTGACCGTGGAACGCGCCTAGAGGGGTAGAGTTTCATCGTTTCTTTTACGTTTAATCTCCACCTCTGCTGTTCCTTCGCTGTGGGTGTGAGAGGCCCGAGCATTCTGCGTCCACGAAAGATCCAGTTTTCCGATCCGTCGGCTGGTTTTGAGAGTCGCATACGTACGAGCACCGCGTCGCGATGGACGCGATACGGAAGCAGCTCGACGCGCTGATGGGGGCCAACAGGAACGGGGACGTGGAAGAGACGAACAAAAATTACTACGACCGGGATGTTTGTCGCGCGTTCCTGTGTGGCCTCTGTCCGCACGATCTGTTCACGTTAACGGTTAGTTATTTGCTATTTGAAGAGATTATGATCTACTACGACCGGGACTTGCGCGCTGCGCGTTCCTGTTCGGGGCCTTTCCGCACGATCTGTTTCCGTTGAGTTTATTGTTTTCCTTTGTTATACCAGTACTTCTGCAATCTGAGACCAGTCTTTGTTTCGTTTCCAACCTTCGTTCACCCATCTCTGCCCTTCCGCATTCATATCGCTACCATCTTTTACCTTCTTCCCTTTCGTTTTTCGTTTTCTAGAAAATGGATCTTGGACCCTGCTCCAGGGAGCATTCGCTCCGCCTGCGAAAAGAGTAAGTACTTGTGTTCCTCTTTAAACCAATGAAAGTGGTTCGTCTTGGCGATAATTTTATTTGTTTGAAGCATTTATATTTAATCCGAACAGGATTCCGAGAAAGCTGTTCACGTAAGGGACCTGTGCACGAGAAGAAACAGCACGAGATCATTTTGGCGTTTATATATGTATATTTATATTCAACTATTATCAACTTTCGTGCGTTTTGTTCTCAACGCGTACAGGTATGAGGAGGCGAAGGCGAAAGGATTGGTGGACTACGAGCGAGAGCTGGAGGGAATTCTGGAGAAGCTGATCGTGGAGTGCGATCACATGACTCACTCACTCCATTCCACTGTGCTCACTCGCAAACCCCCCGTTTGTGTTCTTAACGCGTACAGGTATGAGGAGGCGAAGGCGAAAGGATTGGTGGACTACGAGCGAGAGCTGGAGGGAATTCTGGAGAAGCTGATCGTGGAGTGCGATCGCAAGATCCAACGGTCGTTCAAGCGCCTGGAGGACGAGGAGGGCGCTGCTGCGCTGAACGCCGTTAAAGTGTCTCAAGTCACTGATGTGAGCTGATGGTGCTTGGATGGAAAGAATGAACAGGGAGAGGGAGTGAGGAGCTTTTGATAAATTGGATTGGAACATTAAAGTCGGCTTAAAGAGTTTAGAGCAGTTTTGAACACTGTGAAAGTGCCTGAAGCCACTGGTTAAAGCCGATGATGGTTCGGAAGGGAGAGCGAGAGGAAGAAGAGGGATGGGGAGAGGGTGAGAGAGGGTGAGAGAGGGTGGTTGTACGCGGTGGTTGCATTGCATCTCGTTGCATGGCTCTTATTGGTTGTTATGCTACTGAACTTGCTTTATATTTCCTTCTTTTTCACTTTCTGTCTTTTCCATTTCTCACACTGCAGTCACCGGAATCGATAGAGCTGACAAAGAAGATCTATCAGAAAATGGCGGAGGTCGATCAGCTGGGTAAGCGATTGATTTTTCTTTTCTTTTTGCCAGAGATTCTACTGCGTGACTGAGTTGTTTTTTTCCCGGTTTTGGAGTTGACGCAGAACGCATGCTTGTCTCCTTTGTCTTGTCGACCTTTACATTTCCATTTGCCCTTCTCCTTTCTCGTTCTCGTTTCTCTCTTCTCTTTCCCCTTTCTCCTGTATGCTTCCTTTCCTCGCTGCAGAGATGGAGAACAGGATGGACGACAAGATTCGGGCCACGGAGGAACTGGAGAAGCTGAAGCAGGAGCGAGCAGACAAGCAGGTGAGCACACACACACACACACACACACACACACACACACACACACACACACACACACACACACACACACACACACACACAGCACCGTCACCTCAGCGCCTGCGTTAATCAGGGCCAGTGCCAGCCTCTCTCTGAACCGCCAGCATCTGGAGTGCCAGTGTCAGCCCGGTTTCTCATCCACAGCTCCCTTTCCCCGCTCCGCTGCCTTATATTTCCCTTAATAATTCTCTCTCTCAGGCCCAATCCATTCTGGACGCGTTCAGCAAGGATCCCCTCTCCGGCCCGCCAGCCCCTGGAGGACCAACGGTGGCAGCACCCGTACTCAACTAACCCCTTGGTGCTCCCTTGTGCTCCTCCTGCTAAATCCGTTGTTCCGTCCATCAGGCACAGTCCATCCTGGACGCCTTCAACAAGGATCGCCTCTCCGGCCCGCAAGCACCTGGAGCCTGGAGGGCCTGTGGTGGCAGCCTTGATTTCCAATCTTCAGCTCCTTTTCCCCCATCCGCTGCCTTTCCTTCTCCCTGCTGATTCTCTCCCAGGCCGCGTCCATTCTGGACGAGTTCAACAATGATCGTCTCTCCGGACCGCCAGCCCCTGGGGGGCTGGTGGCAGCCTTGTGATCCACCTCTACGTCGTCAGCTCCCTCTCCCCCCTCCGCTGCCTTTTTTCATCCCCTAATAATGCTCTCTCTCAGGCCCAATCCATTCTGGACGCGTTTAACAAGGATCGCCTCTCCGGCCCGCCAGCCCTTGGGGGGGCGGCGGTGGCATGGCAGCCCTGACTTCCCATCTTCAGCTCCCTTCGTCCTCCTCCGCTGGCTTTTATTTCCCTTGTAATACCCTCTCAGGCCGCATCCATTCTGGACGCGTTCAACAAGGATCGCCTCTCGGGCCCACCAGCACCTGGAGGACCGGCGGTGGCAGCACCGGTGCTGAACCAGCCCGACAGCAAGACGCAGGAGATGATCAAAGAGAAGCTCCGACGGGCGGAGCAAGCTGGTGAGTAACGTAGGCTGATTCAAGGGAAGGGTGGAAAGGGATGGGAAGGGTGGGGAGGGTGGAAAGGTTATGGTCACTGGATCAGTGTCTGGCAGCACCGGTGCTGAACCAGCTGGAAAGCAAGACGCAGGAGATGATTAAAGAGAAGCTAAGGCGCGCAGAGCAAGCCGGTGAGTAACCCTTCCTTGACTGTGTTACTGTGTGCCAGCGATTTTAGCATGGTTCAAGGGTTTAAGGGCTGGTGGATGGCAGCACCAGTGTTGAACCAGCCGGACATCAAGACGCAGGAGATGATCAAAGAGAAGCTCCGACGGGCGGAGCAAGCCGGTGAGTACTTTGTGTCACTCTGTGTGCGTCGTATGATCTTATCCGATACTCACTGGATCAGTGCGTGGTAGTACCACTTCGCATAGCATGATCCACAGCCCCTCCAAACCATAATGTTTTCCATTCTTGAGTTCTTCGTGGTAAGCCAGCCAGGAATGATGAGACTGTTTCAAAGCCATAGCCACGGTTCTCAGCTCACAAAAGCAAGACTCTAAAGCGATAGACTGAAGCGATGTATACGGGGTGGGCACCTTCCCTGTTTGTCCCATGGGTATCCACGTCCTGCTTTTCATGGGAGAGGGAGCCATGCCTCGCACTATCTCCCCTTGCACTGTGCACTGTGACGGGTCGGGACCAAGACCACAAACACGTGGGGCTGGCTTGCAGCCAACTACCCTTGAGTGGCGCTGTGGCTGCCCCGAATGCTTGACTGCATGGTCCTCCAAGTGCCACTTCAATGGCCAACGTGTGGTTGTTTGTGTTGCTTGTGTTGTTTGATAGTCTATCGCTTCAGAGTCTCGTTTTTGTGACCCGAGAATCGTGGCTATGGCTTTGAAACAGTCTCATCATCCCTGGTTGGCTTACCACGAAGAACTCAAGAATAGAAAACATTATTTCTCGGAGGGGCTGTGGATCATGCTATGCGAAGTGGTACTACCACGCACTGATCCGAGTCCATGCCAGTGAGTACTTTGTGACACGCGAAGTGGTACTACCAGCAAGACGCAGGAGATGATCAAAGAGAAGCTCCGACGCGCGGAGCAAGCCGTTGAGTACTTTTTGTCACTCTGTGTCCGATCGCACTGTTTCCGTCTCTCCTCCCTCTGTCTCCCCTCCACCTCCTCTGTCTCCTTACTTCTCCTCAATACCCACCTGCCACACCATTCCGCATCCCACCATTCCCTTCCCCGTTCGCCATCTCCTCTCCCCTCTGCTCTCCCCTCCTCTCCCCCCCTCTGCTGTCTCCTCCTCCCCTCCGCCTCGTTGTATTGCAGGAGAGGAGGGGCGTGTGGACGAGGCTCAAAAGCTCATGGAGGAGGCTGATGCGCTCAAGAAGGTGTGTGAAAGGGTAGAATGGGGTGCGATGCGGTTGGGTTGGGTTGGGTTGGGTGGGTGGTTGGGTGGGTTGGGTGGGGTTGAGTGGGTTGGGTTGGGTTGGGTGGGTGCACTGTTCATTCCTCTGCACAGTCATTTGTGCATCTATTCTCCGATCCTCTTCGTAACTCACCTGCCTTTCTCTGTTTCTCGCTTGCAGCTCTCCATGGCTCCAAAGCTAGACCCGATAGCAAGCCTTGGCTTTCAAATCGTGAGTCTTCCCCCTTTATTCACTCCATCCTTCTTCCATCATCGTGCCTTTCCCCTCGCTTTCACCCCGTTTGTTCTTTCACTCAAGTCTTTTATTGTGGGTCCTCCTCCCCTACCCCTTGTATCCCCTCCTTCTTGGTACTGTGAATCGTGACTGTGTATGTTTGCTTTGAGAGATCTGCAAGTTTTATTGCTTCTTGCACGCGCTACTTGCAAAACCTAATCGGATCAGAAGCTTAGAGTGTGCCACTTCTGTGGGCGTTCCTCAGTATCTTCGACAGGTGCTGCTTCTGTGGGCGTCGGGCGCACTAAGAATCATATGTGTTTGCCCTTCTCTCATTCTCTCTCCCTCCTCTTCCTCCCCTGCTTGGTCAATGGCAGGCGGATCAGAAGCTGCGGGTGTGCGACATCTGTGGGGCGTTCCTCAGTATCTTTGACAGGTGCGTCTGGAGTCTTCGCATATGCAATCTGATTAGCTACAGTCAAGGGAGGAGACTCCACTGTATGCGACTGGAGTGGAGGCCAATGCGTCTAGTGGAGTCTTTCACTACGTTTGAACCTCTCTCTTCTGAGGTTGATGCATGCCCGCTTACCATTACGCGCACCCAATCCTTATCAGGGTGGTTTTACGTTCTTTAAGCCGTTGGCCCAAATTGCACAAGTTTTAAAAGGTTGACGAGAGGGAGTTTTACTGGTTTGGGTCTTGGCGAGTGTTTCCAATTTCGTGAGATTCGATTTTTTTTCGCAAAACCCAGCCAGCCCCTCGTTTTTACCCTTGTGGGTGTGTCAGACCTCAAAAGTCCCAAATTGCAGGTGCGCTACTTTTCAAAGCTTGCACAGCCCACTTCGTCAAGTTTTAAAAAACTTGACCTGCGCGGTCGGCAATTTGGGCCGCGGGCTTTAATCTCTCTTTATTTTGTCCTATTTGCCTCCCCCTCTCCCTGCACAATCAGCAACAGGCGGTTGGCTGACCACTTTGGGGGGAAGCTGGTACGCTTACTCAAACCTGCTCCTTGCCAGTATGGTTTTACTTTTCTTAATCTCTCCTCTTATTTTTCTCCATACGCACACACCCTTTTTTCCACGCACAAACAGCGACAGGCGGCTGGCTGACCACTTTGGGGGGAAGCTGCATCTGGGCTATCTCTTTATCCGCGACAAGATCAACGACATTCGGGTGAGTGCATGTGCATGTGCACATTGTAGTACCCTGCATGTCATGTTATGATGCACAGCACACCACTTAGGGGGGAAGCTGCATCTGGGCTATCTCTTCATTCGCGACAAGATCAACGACATTCGGGTGAGTGCATGTGCACATCTGAAACACGTTGTTCGGGTGCCTGCACATCGAATTATGCTGCACAGCACTAAAGCTGCATCTGGGCTATCTCTTCAATCGTGACAAGATCAACGGTATTGGGGTGAGTGCAGTTGCACGTGCACATTCTACTATGCTGCACGCACGCACGGTGCAGCATAATATAGTCCCTGGCTTGAGATGTCGATTTAAAAGGGGTTGGTTGAGCCCCTCGTCCCACTGGAGGAGGTGACTTTTGAGTCGACTCAAAAGTCACCTGCACCATAATATAGTCCCTGCCTTGAGATGCCTATTAAAAAGGGGGGTTGGTTGAGCCCCTCGTCCCACTGGGTGAGCCTCTGACCTCGCTACTCTCTGTTCCCGTTTCTACTCTACCCTGTCGAATTTGTTTCTTCCGCTTTCGCGTTTCTGCTCTTTACGAATGCCTTCTCTACTTTCGTTGTTCATTCACATTCGACCCCATTGGTTCTGGTGGTGTTGTCCTTTTTTAACCGAGAAGCTCTATCACATTCAATGTTTACATTCATAATGAACGCCTTTTATGTTGGTTCTGGGTGCAGGAGAAGAGGAGGAAGAAGGATGAGTTGCGGTGAGTCCTCCATGTGATGGGAACATGGGTTATCTTTTATCTTCGAGATCTTGCTTCAGAACATGGGAACATGGGTTATCCTTTTTTTTTTTCAGACAAATCTCCAAGTGGACATGGCCTTTGTCACCCACACACCTGATGTTGAGAAATGCACATAGATTAAATTCTCATGCTCCTCCTCATGCTTCCCTTCCCCTCATTACCTCTTCCTCTTCATACTCCACATGCTCCTCGTCTTCCTTTCTCATCCTCCTCCGCATGCTCCTCCTCGTGCTTCCTCCAGGCCCCGATCTGAGGAGCGCAAGGAACGGGTTGACGATCGAGACAAGGACAAGGAGAGAGAGAGGGTCAAGGATGGGGACAAGGATCGGGATCGGGACAGAGACAGGGAGAGAGACAGAGACAGGGACAGGGACAGGGAGAGGGATAGATACAGGGAGAGGGAGAGGGATAGAGACAGGGAGAGGGATAGGGACAGGGACCGCGATCGGGACAGGGACAGGGGGAGGGAGAGGGATCGAGATGACGACTGGGCGCGGGGCAGGGACCGGGACCGGCGCGGAAGGGAGTACGACCGCGACCGGAGGCACAGGTGAGCTGGTTGATGCGTGGTGCAGGTGAGTTGCTTCTCGCACGGTACAGGTGAGCAGGTTGATACACATTATCAAGTCGGCTATTACCGGGACCGGGACCGGCGTGGAAGGGAGTACGACCGCGACCGGAGGCACAGGTGAGCCGCTTGATGAGCATTACAGAGTGGTTCTTTTCGTCTTTTTATGAGAGGGGCCGGGACCGGCGCAGGAGGGACTATGCCCGCGACCGGCGGCACAGGTGACCTGCTTGAGGAAATTTTCAGAAGTCTGCTCATTTTTTTCTGAAGTTGAGCTGGGGTTGAGCAGGTGGGGTGGATGTGACTGAGCTGGGGTGCATGTGCCATCCCCATCCCCATCTCCAACTTCAAAACCTGGACAGGTCCCGCTCACGCTCGCGATCCCGCTCTCGTGACCGCCCCTCCAGGCGCTCAGATCGCTACTGACGCTCCCATTTGGAAAGCGATCATGATCTCTGCAATCCGTATGCTGCGAAGGTTAAACGCTCCCTTTAGGGCGTCTTGAGGCATGCTAGTGCTGCACTAATCTTGCACAGATTGCTCAGATTGCAGTCACTCTAGATAGTTACCGGTATATGTTTCCTTCTAATCTGAACTAACACCTGAATCCTGCCATAGCTAGACTTTGGCAGTTGGGGGTTGAGTGTGGTATAGTGGCCTCATTGAATTGGTGGTAGTGCCTTGGTGGTCTTTGTGGGTTGATGTGATGAGGGGCTAATTGCAAAGTGCGGCTGAGAGAATCAAAGACTTGTAGCACTTCAGGATTGCTTAGTGTAGCATGGGCTTCTTTTCACCATCTGGAGTTTTTAGATATTGTTTTTTGTACTATACCTGTTCCGCATACCGTATGTTTTTCTGCGGATCACTGATGTTCAGTGATGTTGAATCCGAAGTGTAACTGAAATTCCTTTCAAATTTGTATCTGACTAGGTAAATCACTAACATGCATTGAGGAGTCCACAAGCAGGCACTGCAAAAACGTCTGATAGCCTCAAATCAGCTTGCCACTATGTTAGCTCCTCTTTTTTCTCTATGCATGAGCACCAAACTTCTCGTCTCTGCCCAACTCTACAACTCACAGAGAATCTTTCAGGAAGTCAGAAAAGCGCAAAACAAGCAGCAGCTGCCAGTGCAAGCAGACTGACACCCTTACACGCCAGCACCAATCGTCTAGCCTCGTTAGGGGGAGGAGGCGACGACGGCGAGCCTGTAGCAGAGGAATTAGAAGAGGAACTAGCAGAGCCACTAGCAGAGCCACTAGAGGAGCCACCGGCCCCACTTGGTGCCTTTGGGCAGGTGGGGTCTGCAATGGTTCGGTTAATAAAAGGCTTATATTCGGGGTGCATGGTAACGTTGAGCTGTGAGATGGGGCACTCTTTCGTGGCGGGGAGTGAGTCGCAGCACACGTTGGTGTCGGGGAGCTTCATCGGGCCGTTATAGCACTTGTCGGTGCCTTCAAGAACCTGGAAGGGAGAAGAGGAGGGATTGGGGAGAGAGGGAGTGGCGAGATAGGGAGTGGGGGAGAGGGCGTGGAGGAGTCAGGGAAAAGGGCAGCGGGTCGCGGAACACGTTGGTGTCGGGGAGCTTTGTCGGGCCGCTGTGGCACTTGCCAGTGCCTTCAATAACCTGGGAGAGAGGAAGCAGGGAAGAGGAGGAAGGAGGGGAGTGAGGGAAAAAGGCGAGTGAGTCACAGCACACGTTGGTGTGGGGCCGTTGAAGACCTGTCCGTGAGGCTTTTGAGTCGACTCAGAAGTCACCAGGAGGAAGGAGGGGAGTCAGGGGACAAGGCGAGCGGGTCACAGCACACGTTGGTGTGGGGCCGTTGAAGACCTGTCGAGTGGGGGAGAGAAGTCAGGAGAGAGTGGGAATGGGGAGAAAAGGGCCTGGGCGCCAACTAGGTGCCCGCAGAGTGGTATAAAAATATTAACGGAGTGACCAGCATGGTGTAGACCGGTATAAGAAGCTTGTTGGTGTGATCATCATGGTGCAGGACGGTATAAAGCGCCTACCGGATTGACCAGCACGGTGCAGAGGGGTACAAAGCGCTTACTGGAGTGACCAGCACGTTGCAGAGGGGTACAAAGCGCTTACCGGAGTGACCACCACCGTGTAGTTGATAGCATCGAAGGCCTGGCCGACCCTCCCGAACAGGGTCGTCATAAGCATCTCTCCCGAATTAAAGTACTTAGAAATGGCTCCTTGAAACCCGGGTACTGTGAGAGTGGGGGGATTTGGGGATGATGAGTTTCAAGAGAAAGAGGTGAATTTTTGGTACCGCAACAGAAGTACTGCGAACTGGTTACCAGGTTACATCGCTTTCGCATCCGACAGTGTTTAACGGGTTACATCACTTACGCGGCAGGTCCTTGCACTTTTCGTACACCTTGTCGGCGAAAGGAGCGCAAACGCGCATTTCGCCGGCTATCCCGCGCGGAAGCTCCAAGTATTTCCCCGAATCTGAGAGACAGTTAGAAAATCAGACGCGGAAACGTTGAGAGTTAGGAATGGAGTAGCTTGGAGAAATGGAAAACTCAAAGAAACGGAGCGTTGGCGAAGGAAAGTTGCGAAGGTTCAAGTTAACGTGTTAAGGTCTACCGAAGGAGCTACTCATCTTCTCGGGATGGTCCTGACGTTCTCTGAATCTCACGAACGATGATACTGAAATCACTTTTGGGAACTCTCAGAAGCCTTCAACAGCGCACCTGGATTGCAGCCCGTGGCGCAGATCATCTGCTCGAGAAGGTCCTGACACTCTCTGAAGTTGACGAATGTCGAGCATAGCTGCACGCACAATCAACGAGCAGATTGCAGTTTTTAGTCGCCTCAGATCAAGCATTCTTGCAGGAACGCCACGCGCATCAGGGTGAATTTCATTTTAATTGGATCGTAGCGATAGCGTAAGGGTAGTAAACACGTGACAGCCCGATTGCACTAAGAATTCATCCTCAGCTTACCTGGACGTCTCTGTTGCCGATGATCGTGTTTTGAGTTTGACTTCGTTCTCAGCTTCGTTCTCAACACGTCACGACTTCGTTCTCGGCTTACCTGAATGTCTCTGGCGCCGAGGAGATTCGAAAGGCGAGGATCTACTGTAGAGATGAGCGTTGTAACGTTCGCGCTGACTTCGGCGAGCGCGTACCGTCTATCGGAGCAGTCCTTGCAGCATGACATTTCAGCGGCGTCGAGGCATCGCGAGGCCGATACTTTTGGTTTTGTCGGAGGGAGGCCAGTGAACGGACATAGAGGATATTTTTCAGCAACGGTGACCATTGCGAGAAGAGCCATGGCGAGGAACAAAGTAGCGAGCGTAGCTTTCCCCATGTCGACGTGGCCTAATAAATCCAAGGTTAGCTGAGTCAGCTAGGAGCAGTCAAGCTTCTTTGACTGAGAACTAGGCTTCACCACTCAGTGTGGCCAGGATATGCAACTATCCAGATGATATAAACTGGATAACTCCTAGCTGATCCTGGAAATCTGCGTCAGCTGTACAGGAAAGGCTTGCACACCCAAGTTATGATAGACTAGAGGTGAGCGGGTGGGGACGAGTGACGAGCAGGAGGAGCGTGGGAGCAGAAGTAGCTGCTGAGCCCTGGTGATGACGATTCTGCGGCATTCCCAAGCGTGACAGGACACAGGACGCGACACTGTCGAGGCTCCAGGCAGGAGTCAGGAAAATTGGGTTCTTGGGGAGTTTCCCTGAGTGTCAGGCAGAGGAACACAGAAGCTCCGCCATAACGGTCTTCGAGTGGAACTGCTCCTGCCCTGAAAAACAAAACAAACAGACAAAAATCGGTCGGGCTGAAATTCGGCCCAAATTTTCGACCCAACTTCATTCGGTGAAATCGTACTGTCGAACGATGCTGTTCTTTTTTTTCGAAATCGAAGGTGATTTTGAGCCTGACTCAGGACTTGGCGGCAGAACGGTGCAACCCTTTGCTGCACGGCGATCGGTGGGGAGGGGACAGGAAGCCTACCGTCGCGCTTCGGCAAATCATCCTTGATAGAAGCTGTATGACGTCAAATGCAAACAAGAGTGAATCGTATTATTTATGAATCTGCAATCGACAGTGTTACAATTTCGATATTGCATTCCCCGTTCCACAAGCTGTCAGAAACACCGAAGCCGTCGCGTTTTTTTTCGAAAGCCGAGACGCGCCTGGCTTTGAGCGGTTCGATTTCCGAAGCAAAATCCACCGCGAACATCGCCCCCACCAGAACCTGACCCCGAAATGCAAGGCGGGCCGCGAGTTGAAAAAAAATGTGTAAAACCCGCGGGCCAAGAAGTTCAACCTTAGGAAGGTTGGTTGGGAGTGAAAACGCTATTGGCCCACGAACCAACGAGGTCTTAGAACTCGGGAATAATCAAAGGCGTTTTTGGGACGCTGTGAAATCAAGACGCTGTTTCATTCGCTATCGCTATTTGCCAGTAGAAGTTCACCATTTGCTTAGAAATAAGCTTCGGTCAGTAGCTATTGCATTCTGCTCGAGAGCTTCCGTGTATGTATTCCAGTGGGCATTTTGAGCTCCAATCGAGCGCGTGAGCTACGGGAGCCATCACATCTAGACTGAATCCCAGCAGATGATAGGGACCATCACATTTATCGATCCACGTGGCCCTTAGTTAATACACTCATAGTCGAACGTGTCCATCAACCTCTCGTTACTTCCCGCGAATTAAGTAACTATTTTAGCTAACAGACACTCAAGATGGGGAAGTCACCACTGCCTGACACACGGACCCGGCAATCCACCCAAATATCGTTATCCTCACGTCTCCTATTCTCCCTCCTCCTCCTCTCTCTCGCCCTCATAGCACCAGTCTCAGCGGAAGACAAGCCAAACTTTCCGCTATGCCCGTACACCAAGCAGCCACCTACCAAGTCCAACTTAACATTCACGCGGTGCGTGGGAGCCACCAAGTACACGTGCTGCCCGGACTGCTACGACCTGAAACTCGCGCTGCTCGCGGTCAGCGCAAAGGGCTCCGGCATCCTTAATCAGATCTCGTCCGGCCTCGGCCGCGTGCTCGTCGGGAAGGACATTCAGGTGAGCCTTGGACGAGACTGTAAGTCGGGAGAAGGGGGGAGGAGGAAGGTTGTCTGAAATTTCAAAAAGAGGGCCTAAGGCAGGCCGTCAGTGCAAAGGGCTCCAGCATCCTCAATCAGATCTCGTCCAGCCTCGGTCGTGTGCTCGTCGGAAAGGACATTCAGGTGAGCGCTCCGAAGGACGTCGCAATTGGAAATTCTCAATGAGCGCGAGGCCATCAGCGCAACGGGCTCCGGCATCCTGAATCAAATCTCTTCAGGACTGGGCCGCGTGATCGTCGGAAAGGACATTCAGGTGAGTCTTGGGGGTTAAATCTCCCAATACCAAAATAGGCTTCTTGGGTCGTCGATTGAGACGTCTCAAAAGACTACTTCTGAGACTAAGGCCAAGAACAGGCCGTCGATGCCAAGGGATCCGGCATTCAGGACATCCAGGTGAGCGCTTCGATAGAACGGGACCTTTTTGAGAACCTAGCCTCTTTTTCGAAGGTTCGTGCAATCACTCCACAGAAAGTTGAGTTTGGGGGGGGATAAGGCATACCCACCCGCGTCCCCCTCCCACAGTCTCCCACTTCCCCATCCTCCCCCGACATTGCCGCAATTTTGCCTGTTGCCACTCACTCTCTCCCTCTCTTCATCTCTCCTCTTATCACGTTAGCCTTTTACCAACTTGCCCTTCCATCACCTCAAAGTCGCCCACTTCCCCTCTCTCCTTCCCCCTCCCAACTTTCTCCCTTCACCCTTCCCCCTACCCCCTTCCCCCTCCATATTCCCCTTTCCACCTTCTCCCTTCCCCCTCCCCCCAGCTCTGTTCCATCTTCGCCAGTAACTCCGCGTGCCAGCTGCACCTTCACCCTTCCCCCTTCCCCTTCCCCCACCTCCCCTCCCGCCTTCCCCCTCGTCTCGTCCCCCCAGCTCTGCTCCATCTTCGCCGGTAACTCCGCGTGCCAGCTGCACCTCGAACAAGTTGTCTGCGCCAACGGCTGCGACCCAGGTGCGACAGCGTGCGACCCAAGCGCAATTTTGTGTGATCCAGGCTCCACTCGGTATGATTTCAGTATACACTGATCTTGCGACTTGGGAGCGCTGCTTACGTTTCGGAAGACTAGCTTTCTTCACTTCTTCCAGGCAGACCGGCTCGCATAAATCTCATCGTATTCCAACCTAAAAAGCACTCGCTTTCCTCACCTGCCCGTGCTTGCAGAGTCGGGAAACTACCTGCAAATTGTAGACCGAAACACCAAGGGTATCCTGTCCGTGTGCTCTGACTACTCCTCAGTCGTCTACGAAAGCTGCAAGGACCTTCCACGTGAGTTGCACTGCTCTCAACCTCTTTGCACGGCTCTCAACCCCTTTGCACCGCTCTCAACCTCTTAGCACCACTACGATTAATTAAACACCAAGGGAATCCTGTCCGTGTGCTCTGACTACTCCTCTGTCGTCCGCGAGAGCTGCAAGGGACTTCCTCGTGAGTTGCGCCGCTCTCAACCTATTTGCACCCCTACAACTCCTCCAGTACTCCTGTTACCTCTCTGACCTAAACTTTTGGTCTTCGGTTCTATCCTTGTTTTTTGCGTTCCAATCGAACTTCCTTCCCTCCTCTCACACCCCATCGTGCAATCACCAGTGCCCGACTTCGGAACCATGGCGGATTTCTTCCCCACGAAGGAGCTCTTTATGACCAAGCTGTTCTGTTCTGCCCTTGTGTTTACGCATTCCAACTTCCTTCCCTCCACTCCCTACTCTACTCTCCTCCCCCACAATCACCCACCAGTGCCCGGTTTTGGAACCATGGCGGATTTCTTCCCCACTAAAGAGCTCTTCATGACCAAGCTCTTTGGAGCGGTCATAGGGCTGATCGGCAAGCTCAACTACACTGTCAAGATCAAGCCGGTGAGCCCGCCAGCTTGTTGCTAGCATCTGTCGCTCCTAATCTAGTTGTGTTGGCATCCAGAGGCGGCCTCAACGCTTTGGAGCGGTCATAGGGCTCATTGGCAACCTCAACTACACTGTCAAGAAACCAGTGAGCCCTTGAACGTTGCTGTTGCTGGTGTTGACCAAACCGTTTGTGTGACATCTGTGGGCGACCTGGGCTATAACGGTACAAGCTGTCATCAGGCTAGTCGGCAATGTCTCCCATGATGGCCGTCAACACTAATCAATAACACTAATCAATAACACTAATCAATAACACTCATCAATAACACTCATCACTAACACTAATCAACAACACTCATCAGTAACACTAATCAATAACACTCATCAGTAACACTAATCAATAACACTAATCAATAACACTCGTCAGTAACACTTATCAAAAACACACCACCTCTTGCACCCATTCCACACCTTCCCCCTTATACAGGGCCCGGATGCATGCTATAACGGGCCCAAGGCCCTCCCAGCAACGACCCTCTGCTGCGACCCGCTAAAGGTCCCCCGAACGTGCCCTCGCGGCACCATCAGCTTCAAAGAAAACCCTGAGTTCCGCCCGTTTGTGGGGCGGCAGATCGACAGCAAGGGCTGCACCGAGAACCCTTCTCTCGCCATGCTCGGATCGACTCCTGATGCGGGGGCTGCAGGGAAGAAGAGCGCTGCTGGTGGTGGTGGGCGTGGGAGGGGGGCCGTGTTGGGGCTTGTACTGAGCTGGTTGGGAGTGTGGCTGGCGTGGGGAGGGTTGTGATCTGAGGCATATATTAGTTTGTTTCTGTTGGGACACAGCTTTGGCTCATGGGAGTTCAGGGTTTAGGGTATGGTTATGGTAACTGCTAGTTAGGAACTGTAGGTGAGGTTGATTCAGCCAGCAACACCATTGTTGCTCGAGGTAACATACCATGAAATGCCTGATTAAAGAGGTTGATGACTCATCATTTGTACTCGGAGCAATGCCAAGGTGCCTTGAGCAGGGTACTTCGTGCTAGTGTTTTATCAAGTCAGGAGGGAACTTTGTGCTAGCCCACTAAAAATAGAACAATTCATTTGATAATGCATGGAGTGACCGACCTAAGCATGCACCATAATGGTATCAATAACAAAATAATAATAATAATAATAACAATATTGAAAAGAATAGTAACAATATTAAGTAGAATAAGAATAATAATATCAATAAATACTAATAACGATCAGCTTGTTTTACACGTGTTTTTCATCCTAGACTGTGGTGCCATACCGTATGGCCCCGGATATAGGCGCCGTCCGATTAAGGGCGCCGGCGCTTCTATCTGGAGCATGGCGCTTATGGCCGGAAGTCGATTATAAGCGCCCCCCCTCTAGTGGGTGTACTTATTATAAGCGCACCATTTCACGTTGTGGAGAACTCATTACAAAAAAAACATATCTAATTAACACTAAACATGAGCATGCTAACATTACACCTACAACATCATCACTGACATTTTTATCTAGCTACATATTGCAAAGTTTAGCATCTCTACCTAGAAAATCTACTCCTCGTCGGATTCTGGCTCCTGGCAGTTGTTGCCAAAGAAGCCATCGGCGATGATGGAGTCATCGACATCCACCTCCGCGGTCAGCTGGCTCCGCCTGTGCGCCATGGCGAGGCCGTCCTCACTGCCGTCAAGCGCGTTGCTGATGCCACAGGTGAGGAAGGCGCGCTTGATGAGGTCGGCGGGCACTGCTTTCCAAGCCCGTGAGATCCACCTCACGACCACCTCTGGGGGTGGCTTCTTCAAGTTCCCTGTACCAACAGAATCACATGAAATGAGACGGTAGTTAGCGCAACAAAAGGGGGGAAAATCTTCTACGGTAGTCTAGGGACTCGCGTGGCTACCGTACCTGCTTTGGTTAGCTGTTCTTGGCCTTCTTCCTGAAACCACTTCTGATACTGCTGGCGAACGCTCGCCTTAAAGCTCTTGTTGATGGAGACGTCGAGGGGCTGTACCTCCGCCGTGCAGCCAGACGGGATGATCGCCGGCACGCAGTTGAGCTCGCGAAACTTCTCCTTAACGGCATCAGTGAGGTGACCGCGGTACGAGTCCAGTACGACCATCGAGCTCCGCGCATGCCTCCCGAACCCAGGCTTTAGAAATGGCTTGACGCACTCCTCAAGCCATTGTATGACGCCGTTGGCGTCCATCCAGCCGTTCTCGTGACACGACACGACCACATCTGCATAACAAACAAGCTTCTGTAAGTCTCTTTAAAAACAAAGACCGGTGTAAAGCAAACAAACAAGAATCCTGACTCACCCGGCGGAAACACCCCTTTCGGCACGGTCTTCCGCTTGAAAAAAACCCACGGCCTCAGCTTCATCCCGTCCGCCGTGCACGCCAACATCACGGTCACGCGCTCCTTCTGGTACCCTGCGCTCCTGATGGGCACCGACCGAACACCGGTTTGATCGACGGTAGTGGTGGCGGGCATCTCCAGCCACAGCGGCGTCTGGTCGGCGTTGATAATCCACGTCGTCTCGATGCCGCGCTCCCGACGCTTGTCACGGACGAATTGCCAGAAGTTCTTGCATTGCTCCACGACATCTGCGGTTGAGCACAGTTACGGTTAGTGAGTAACAAGTGCATACACATGGCATAGAGAATAAAAATGATTCTTACGGGCGGCGGTTTTCTGGGCGACCTTCGTCTTCATTCGCACGCTGAGATTCCACCGCCGACGGAACCGGTCCGACCACCGTTGGCTCCCTTTCCACTTCACGAGGGGGTAGAGAATCTTCATGAACTCCCGGGACCACTCCTGCAGGCGGCCGACGGACACCGCGGTTCCCTTGCGTCGCCAGTCGAGCAGTCGCTCATACACCTTAATCTCCATCGGGCGGTACCACGACGCCCTGCCGCGACCGTGCATGCGGCACCTGGCAGAGTGGGCTTCCTTGAGGAAATCAGCGGCACGCTTCCAGTTGGCGAGGCACTTGCGGTGGATGCCACTCTCGCGAGCCAGAGCGCGCACCGACACCGCCAAATCCAGCTGCGCGACCCACTTCAACTTCTCGGCGGCAGTATAGGCCTGACGCTTGTGGTCGTTGGGCTTGTGCCTGGGAGAGGGGGGGCGAGAATCACGGTTCTGTGAAGAAGTGTGAGGTCGCTTACGATTACGTGGAGGATAAGTTGGTATCGGGAGTTTCTCGGGGAGGCCATCGCGTGACCAGTATTCGACGCCGTCGTCGTCGTCACCGCCCGGCGCACCCTCGGGAAACACATCCTCAGCAGTGCCGGCCTCAGTAGCGGCCTCGGTGTCGGCCTCAGTGCGCCAACCGTCCTCGGCGTCTTGCACGTCGTCATCAGCGCCGACTGCGGATTCATCCCACGTGAAATCTTCTGGCTGGCCCCAATGTGGTGCTGGCGCTGGAGCGGGTACGTCAACATCGGGGCCCTTGTCATAATCCGGTTCCGACAGATACTCGTCGAACGCCGATGGGAGCAGGAGCGTGAGCACGGGGTGGTTGTCGATGTGAGGGGCCACCGGACACGGAGGAACAGGAGGAACAGGAGGAGCAGGGGGAGTCGGAGGCACTGGAGGAGCCGGAGGAGCAGGCGGCGCAGGAGGCTGTGGTGGCTCTGGAGGGTCTGGAGGTATGCGGCTATACCACCCGTCAGATGTAACACGGTACGCGGGCCTACTAGAAGGTTTTTTCTTGAAGAGAAAATGAGTGCCTGTGAATTCCGCCATGGCTTCCGCAGCCAGGCGGGCGAGAAAATGAAGACTGAATCAAAAACTGCAACCCTGGGTGTTGAAATGGGAGATTGAAGGGGACCCCTTCTGGTTTGCGGCTCGGGGTCCTCGTCGATGAGAGACGAGTACACCCCTGCCCCAACCCGCAGAGGAGGGTTGGGGGCACCATCCATGCTGCGCTGGCACGGCAGATTCCATCACGTTCTGGATGGTTCTGCCGAGATGCTCCTGCCTGGCAGCGCATGCCAACCTGATTGGGCCGCACGGCAGGTTTTGCATCAGCGCTGGCAGGTGCGTTGCACCGGGACGGGTTTTGTGCGGTGGGAAATCGAACCGCGGCAAGTTTCGACGTCATTCCATGCACGACCCCGCGTGCATGGTACAGTGCTGTACTCGCCTTCTCCACGGCTCCAGAATGATATCCTTTACAGAGAAATTCATTTTTGCCTTTATAAAAGCGCCGGCGCTTATGGCCGTTACTCAATTACAAGCGCCCCCCTTAAAAAATAATAATTTATTATAAGCGCATATGCGCTACTATCCGGGGTATTACGGTACCATAGTGGTGCTGCTATACAGTCATAACCAGCTGCCAGGACAAGCAGGCTGAAGCCCCACCATCCCAGAAACTAGACTGGTATGATCTGCTGACTTGGGCAGGGGGGGTGGTGGAGAGGAGAGCTCACAGCAGGAAAATCAGCAGCTCTAGCCCTACTTTGTGCGGTCGGACAGGTGGGATGGGCAATGGTTCGGCCGATGATCCAGTCTGAATCAATGAACTCATCACATGAGTAGGAAAGAAGCAGCAGTCGCCAGCAGAAATAGGCTGAAACCCACCCCACAAGCCCGAGATCTCACGACCAGCTTAGGCGGGGGAGGGGATGGAGAGCCTACAGCAGGGGAATCTGTCAGAATCCCAACCACTAGACCATTGGGATAAAAGGGCTTGTTAAGTAGCGGGTCAGTGCGCCCATAACCCCCCAGGCCAACATGCCTGTAACCCTTCCCTAGGATCAATCGGGGATCACCAGTGGACCTCTGACACCCCCCCGCACTGGGATGCCTGAAGTGCACACACTGGGATTCGAACACGAGACCTTCGCTCTGCTAACATGTCAGAATCCCAACCACTAGACCATTGGGATAAAAGGGCTTGTTAAGTAGCGGGTCAGTGCGCCCATAACCCCCCAGGCCAACATGCCTGTAACCCTTCCCTAGGATCAATCGGGGATCACCAGTGGACCTCTGACAGAATCAGCAGCACTGGCTCTGCTCTGTGCGGTCGGACAGGTGGGATCGGCAATGGTCCGGCCGATGAAAGGTACAAACTGTGGGAACGAGGTGACATTGAGCTTTGTGATGGGGCAGTCGGGAGTGGTGGGGAGCGGGTCGCAGCACGCGTCGATTTCGGGGAGCCTTGTTGGGCCGTTGTAGCACTTGTCGGTGCCTTCGCTTGTCTGGGAGAGAAGGATTGGGGAGGGAGAGAGAGTGGCATGACGAATCAGGGAATGAGGGAAGTGGCTCGCAGCACACGTTGATCTTGGGGAGCCTCGTTGGGCCGTTGTGGCACTTGTCAGTGCCCTCGCTTGCCTAAAAGACAGAGAGGGAGAGCAGGGAGAGAGGGGTGGGCGTGGGAGTAAGCGAGTGGGGAAAGGAGTCGGGGGAAAGGGGGAGTGGGGCACAGCACGCGTTGATCTTGCCGGGCTGTTGTATCACATGTCAGTGCCCTCGCTTGCCTGAGAGAATGGTTGTGGGGAGAAGTGGCAGTAATCCTGTCGGCAAAAAAACTTCTTGGAGCGACCAGCATGGTTCAGTGCGGTACAAAAGCCTACAAAGCCTAAAAAGCCTACAAAGGCGACCAAAGTGACCAGTGCGGTGCAGTACGGTACCAAGAGCTTACCTGGGAGACCTGCACAGTGTAGTTGAGAGCATTGAAGGCCTGGCCGACCCTCCCAAACACGATTGTGATGAACTTCAGCTAGATGCCCCCAGGAGTGACTAGTATGGTGCAGTGCGGTGCAAAGAGCTTACCGG